GTCCCCTGGAGAAGGGGAAAGGGTCAAGATCCCCTGAGCAAATTGAGAGCACGGGAATAGGGGGGAGGGATGTAGGAGAATGAGAAGGGAAGAAGAGGAGGGATGCAGAGGACATGAGGGAGCAGAAAGATTGAGTCAGGGGAAGAATAGAAGATAACAAGAATGGAGATACCATAATAGAGGGAGACATTTTAGGTTTACAGAGAAATCAGGCACTAGGGAAATGTCTGGAGATCTACAAAGATGACACCAGCTAACAATCTAAGCAACAGAGGAGAGGCTACCTTAAATGCCCTCCCCTGATAATGAGATTGATGACTGACTTATATGCCACCCGATAGCCCTCATCAACAGCTGGTGGAAGTAGAAGCCAATACCCACAACTTATCACTGAACTGAAATCCAGATGCAGAGAAGGACGAGTGAAGAGCAAAGAGGTCCAGACCAGGCTGGTGAAACCCACAGAAACAACTGACCTGAACACCGGGAAACTCTTGCTCCCCAAACTGATAGCTGGGATACCAGCATGGGACTCATCCAGACCCCAGGAACATGGATTTCATTGAGGAAACCTTGGAAATCTACAGGACCTCCTGTAGTAGTTCAGTACTTATCCCTAGCATAGGTGTGGACTTTAGGAGCCCATTCCGCATAGAGGAATACTCCCTGAGCCAAGACACACGGGGGTGGGCCTAGGCCCTATCCCAAAGGTTATGATAGACTTTGATGACACTCTATGGAAGGCGTCACCATTCGGGGGAGCAGAAAGGATATGTGATAGGTAGGGTTTTAGTTGGGGGGGGGTTGTAGGGGAGGACAGGAGGGAGAAGGGAACTGCGATTGTCATGTTAAACAATCTTATTTCTATTTCAAATAAAAAAATCTGAAAAAAGAAAAAAAATGAGCCTAAGCTCTCAGCTGAGCATATATAATTAAAAAAAATGTATACCTCAGTCAAAGAAACTGGTATATCTAAAAAAAAAAAAAATCCAGGCACAAAATATCCAGAAAATGTAGAGCACTATGAGAAAACCAAATCTATGAATAATAGGAGTAGAAATCCTGGTCAAATATCTCTGCCTGGTGCTCCAGCATCCAGGCAGTGCAAGGCTTTAAAGGAATCCATGGCATTGACAGGATCTAGACATTTCTATCTGAGAGGGTTAGGGAAGAAGACACTCACACACTCTCTTGATGGTTTTCTTCGTTTATTCTCCATACTTCTTTTGCATTCTCCATTATTTTTCTAATTCTTGATGTTGTGCTCTTGTTTAAGTTTAAAAATATAAAAAAGAGGTGCAAGATGAGATTCGAGAACGAGAGATACATTAACTATAGTTTATTCCAGATGGGAGAGGGGGGGAAGGGGAGGGGGGAAGGAAGGCAAGAGAGAGAAGTGGGTAAGAGAGAAGAGAGCAAAGGGAAGTGGGCGTGAGAGTAGGAGAAGGGAGTCTAAGTGGGCAGGGATCTGTCTTTTAAAGGGGTCCTTTACACCTGCGTGCAGACTTAGTTCCCATGGAACCCTGGGCTGACCAGGGTACTGCCTGAGTGGATTCTGCCAGGTAACAGGGGAAGGCCATTGTAATGCCTGAACCTTTCACTTGATGTGTTCTTTTTAACTCTGTCTTTACTCTTAATGTTTCCCTTCTAATTCTCTCATTCTTTGTGTTTTCCATCTAGCCCATTTTAACTCCTTCTGACTTTCTGTTCTCTTCCTTACAGCTGTGTTCACAACAAAATCTTTCAGGCAATGCAGAAGTCACAGAGGGATTACATTCCATTTCTCACGCAAATGATTATAGGTAAAAGATTTAAAACAGTCATCTTGACAACTTACATGCAATATATCTAAGTAATGATCATGGAATAATAGATAACGAACAAGTGAGGAATATTTTTTCTCAGTCAACTCTTATTTTGGCAGGCTGAAAATTGTGGTTGTAAAGAAAGGATCAATCACTGTATTGTCTATCTTGAGAGGTAATCTTATAAGGAAATTTAAAGGATCCATAAGCGTAAACTGATGAAGAACCCAAGAAAATGAGAAAATTGTGTACTTATAACCTATACTTCTGAGTATATTAGGGCTGATGCTGCTTTGACCTCTTGTCCTGTATTCTCACAGTCAGGGTAAAGGCAATTTAAACCAACCCACGACTATATGAACATTTTGAACTAACACCCGAGGTGCCTGAGAGTCCTAAGTCTTGGGACACAGAGATGCCCAGAATGTTGTAAATCCTTGAATTTGGGCTCAAGTCAACATCCTGAGATATCAGATATCAAAGATCTCTTAGCTTCAGCTTGAGTCCACACTCCCAAAACACTGTGGCACCATGATACTTTAAATCTCAAAATATACTTTTTTCTCAGTGTGTAATCTTTGACTATAAAAAGGAACTCGTAGCCCTTTCTCAGGACTACAGAGTAAAATTACTCTCTGTGGCCCTGACTAGTCAGAATGTCTTTCCTCTTGGTGATTTTGAATAAAGGCTGCCTCTGTCGCTAGTCTTTCGTGTTCTACTCCCTGTTATCTCCACAATTTCAGGACCCAACACTTTTATACATAAAAAACAGTCAGCTCAACTTTGAATCTTCAGGGTGCATAATCATATCATAAAATTGAGGTCAGGAATGGATGCAAGGAATTAATCATCCACCAGCTATCAATAACTGGGCTGCTTTGTATTTACCATGCTAGCCTAATGAATCAGACAGCTCAGCTATGTGTGCTTGTAAACTTTAGATTTTTTTCTGGGGTTGTCTATCTTAAAAACCATTAGCAAGGCATCTGGTATAATCTAAAGTTATTTTGAAGCTTGGTTCCAGCTAATGGTACACACAGATACCTGTGTGCATCTTTTCAGCATTAAGAGAATTAGAATCAGCATGGCTCCTGGACACAAATGTTTTCCTTAATCATTAACCTAAGCTGTGATCTAAAGCAGCTCCTTAAATGGAACTCATAGGACTTGGCTGTGAAACATGTCCTTGTATTTATTTTTATTCATTAAAATTCTGTATAAGCTGTCTGTGATACTTATTTTTGCCTGGCATTGATGGCGCACACCTTTAATCTTAGCACACGGGAGGCAGAGGCAGGTGTATCTCTATGAGTTTGAGGCCACCCTGGTCTACAGAGCGAGTTCCAGGACACACTCCAAAGCAATACAGAGAAATGCTGTCTCGAAAAAAACCAGAAAAGAATTCTGTATAAGTTATCATTATTCTTAGCAATTAGACAATACAGTTAGAAAGGGGTCATCTTCTTGACAATCCACATATAAAAATTCCCAGTAGATTGGATAAGTTTCCTTGAGATAAACACATAACATTACAGGCAGTGTGTATGGGGGTGTCTCCCCATATCCACTCACACCATGCCAGATATCAGATAGAGCTGCAGTAGCAAACATGTAAAGGGACAGCATAAGCAAAAAATATTCAGGGCCTGAAGTCTCATAGGAACCAATCTGAAGTTAACTGGCAGGCTATGGGTGTGTTTTATGGTAAAAGTAGCATAACAGTGATGTGCAGAGCATAGGAACCACCCCGGGTGGCCAAAACAACCAGTTGACCAATCAACACAAGACAAGTTGTCCAAGCCCAGAAGCACACCAATCCTGAGACTGTTTGTACCCCTAGACACTACTCTTGGTCTGCCCAATAATTTCCTTGCCCCTTGAGCTCTTGGGGGTCCTTCTCACACCAGACAAAGGGCCTGAGTTAAAGATAGTTAACTTGTTAAACAATAAAATACTCTTTGCTTTTACATCGGAATGGTTCTGTTGGTGATTTTGGGCACAACATAGGTAAAAATTGCAGACAGGCCATTATTGTAGGTTGCACCATTCATAACTGGGTGAGATTGATAATACTTTTGTTCTCTGGTAGCCTTTCTATTCACCACTGTGAATGCTAGTTAGTAGACATGAAACATTTAGTTGAGCACCAACTGGATTTTTACATGTTAGTTACACAAATATGTGATATGTGATAAGCAATAGGGTCTGCCAGGTTTTCAAAAGTTAACTAATAGCATTGTGAGTAGCCTGTGTGTGTGGTGTCTATTGTAACTGCCTTTGAATATTTTAGAGAGATTTTTGGAGTATGAAATTTTTAAAGCTGAACTTTTAAAGTTGTACTGTATTTATAATATATGGCATCTTGGGGACAAACAAGAAAGGAAAATTATGGTTTAGCAGTGATGTGTTTGTCAAGTTGTCAAGGAGTGAATTTGTGTTGGCTAATCTTGGTTGTCTAATACAGATAGGAAAAAGTAATCACAGTTTAAGAATTGCCTAATTCAGATTGGCCTGTGGGCATGTCTGTGGGGCTTTTTCTTAATTGCTATCTGATGTATGAGGACCCAACTCGGTGTAGTTAGTAACATCCTTAGGTAAATGGGCCTGAGCTTGTAAATAAAGTAGAATGTAAGCTCCGAAGCAAGCTGGTAGCAGGGTTTCTGCATGTCTTTCTGCTTCAAACTCCTGCCTTGAGTTTCTGCCCTGGCTTCCCTTACTGATGGACTATAACATATAGACTAAAAAACCTAAGTTGCTCCCTAAATTGCTTCTGGTTATGATGTCATCAGAGCAACACTATAGCCTAAGTGTAACATTGGAGGCCTACATCAGCATGAGCCCAGGCCTTCGGAATATTTTTTCGGCACAGTTTTCAATACCCATGTTTTGTGTTTGTTCTTAATAAAACCTTGGCGTGATGTAATTGCTACAATTTGTCTAGACATTATTTCAACATTTAATACAAAGATTCATCGGGGGATTTCCCCTTGAGCACACTAAAGAGACAGTGTTGGAGATCACACATCTTTGAAAGACTTAAGCAAACTCTTGCCAAGGCCTGCCGTCGTCTCCTAACGCCTCCCGAGGGTTTTCTTTGGCATTTATTGTAGAATCAAATGTCCCAGGGATCTGCAGGGGGAAGTTTTTGGCCCGCCGGACCGGAGTTCAGCAGCGTCCCCACCGCGGGGTCCTCTGTGACGCAGAGCGGAGCGCTGACGGAAGTGACGCTGACGTCCTGCGTGGGGCGGCTGCGTCTGGGAGCAGGAGAAGATGGCGGTCTCCACAG